AAAAAATTAAACTAAAATTAAATTAAAGAATTTTAATTATAATTAAATTATAAAAATATAATTAAAGGGGTGCCTGGGTGGCTCAGTGGGTTAAAGCCTCTGCCTTCGGCTCAGGTCATGATCCCAGGGTTCTGGGATTGAGCCCCGCATTGGGCTCTCTGCTCCGTGGGGAGTCTGCTTCCTCCTCTCTCTCTGCCTGCCTCTCTGCCTACTTGTGATCTCTGTCTGTCAAATCAATAAATAAAATCTTTAAAAATATATATATAATTAAAATTATAAACATCTCTAGTATCATTATTTTTACATGAATTATAATGGGTGGTACAGTAAGAAAAGAGAAAATTATTTTTTAGGAAGGATTTCTCAATAATTATGACAGATTATTTTTTTATTCATGTTTGCTCATTGTATTCTTAGAAAGCCCTTTCACATTATATTTTATATTAAAATAAATAAACTGTGTTAAAACCTAAATAAACTATAGGTAAATATTTTTTAAATATTGGGTCAGACAGAGGAAACCAAGTGAAATTACAAATATAGTATACAAGATAATGTTTTTCTGCAGTGATGAGAGGTAACAGTGGGATGGGAAGGGGTCATATTTAGATGGGTTATTATCAAAACCCATCAGCTACCTAGGTGATAAGTAGCTGATGAGTACATGACATATTTTTAAAACAAATTAAATAAATAATATAAAAATAAATAAATAATATAGCCACAAAAGTAGGCTACCCATGAGAGCATCACAATCCAATTCTGCACAACTAAAGTCCTGATACAAAAAATAATAATAAATATATTTTTTGTTTTAAGTATATTTATGCTTTACACTTCAGAGTATATGAGCAAAAGAAACATTGTAACACGATAGTTATACTCATGGGCTTCAGAGTCAGAGAGACACGAGTTTACATCCTGACTTTACCCCTTAAATCTAATGAACCTTGTGCAAATTTGGTAACGGTTTTGAAGCCTCAATTTCCTCCTCTGTAAAAAGAGTAAAAAAACTTTGAGTTGATTTGAGATTTTTAGATAAAGAACATGAAATCATTGATACCAGTGATTTACAAATATTTTGCAAACATTTTCCAAATAGAAGGGGAGAGTGAATAAGTATTTTTGGGCAGAAGCAAACAATAATTTTCCATAAGCATGAACTTTCTTTGGAAGTGGTCTATTGTCTCTAACATTTCATGCTAATTTTGACAATTTTTAGGTTCTCCTTGGAAAATGTTTCAAATCACTTCTCATTAGTGAAAATGGGGAAAAATAAAACTGTTGACAGAAGACCCAGGGAGAATTCAATGTGAGAGAGAGAAAGAGAGAGAGAGTGAGTGTGTGTGTGTGTTATAGCAAGGTGATCCCATGCTTGGCTCTGGGCATGGGAGCCAAATGCTGAGATGAGGAAAGGTGAATTATCAAGAACGAGGGAAGCTTCTAGAAAGATGGACCAGTCTTTAGCATATCTAAAGTCAGGCTTGTCCACTCGGGCCATCAAATGCTTGATGTTTGATGGGAATCTCATAAACTCTCATAGAGCCTTAAAAGGGAAAGTGGTATCAATTTTCCTTGTCTCTCCGTAATAGATACGGGGAAATGTTTTGGAATTTCTTCCTTTTTAAGAAAGATTTATTTATTTGTTTGAGAGAGAGGGAGATTCAGGGGGAGGGGCAGAGGGAGAGTGGAGCCTGATTCAGAGCTCGATCTCATGACCCTAAAATCAGAATCTGAGCCCAAATCAAGAGTCCAACATTAACCTACTGAACCACCCACACACCCCTGTTTAAGAAATTCTTTTTTTTTTTTTAAGATTTTATTTATTTGTTTGGCACAGAGAGAGAAAGAGAGAGAGGGATTCCAAGTAGGAGAAGAGGAAGAGGGAGAAGCAGGCTCCCCCACTGAGCACAGACTCTGACTCAGGACTTGATCCCGGAACCCAGGATCATGACCTGAGCCGAAGGCAAGTGCTTAACTGACTGAACAACCCAGACACCCTTAGAATTTCTAAGGTACAAGACAGGTACAGGCAGCTAATCGCTTCTGCAGTAACAAGATCTTTGGGGAGAAGGACTGGCTGTTATAGGCTGAATCCTTGGAGGCCTAAGCTAAGGGATCTTGCAGTCAATCTGAGCATGGAAATAGATAGGGCTTTGCAGGGCCATGGCAATCCCAACACAGCATGGCTTAGCAGAATCAGCAAGAGAAGAGATCTGACAAATGGGTACATTTTTTCATCAAGGAGAAACAGTAGGAAGAGCCAAATGAGAGTTTAAGACATTAAGATTTTTGTCCATGAAGGAGTACAGTCTAAGATCCATTGGTCTGGAATCCTCAGATGTGGGGGGCAGCATGAATTTGACACAAGAATTTGACACTGGCTCTCTTTTAGAGCATGCCTAAACAAATTCTAATTTAATTTCAACAATAAGTTAAAGTGATACTCCTTGTACTCCCATTTTCATGAAACAATTCTTATCTGTTTCTGCCAAGTTAATAGGAGAGATTATGTTGAATCAGTATTTTCATACCAGAAAATCGGGCCAAACTGAAGAGATTTGATACCTTACACAGGCAATGTCTCTTTTCCATTTTTGCAACCCAATATTGTGAGAACCCAGGCTTACCCAAATAGAGGTTCCAAATAGATTGGTTACAAATAGAGGATTGGAACCAATTATAAATATATTTATTTTAAAGATATAATTCAGAGTGGAAACAAAACTACTAGGTACCTAGTAATAAATTAAAAAGAAAAGCTGTATAAGCCATTTTTGGTAGGAAATTTGTTTGAAGAAATGATTTAAAAAAAAAAACAAAAGAAAGGCATGATTAGATGGTGAGATATATCATATTCTGGATAAAAGAACTCAATATAAAAAATGTCTGTTCTCTCCTTTCTAGCCATGCCAGGGAATGCAGTCAATTCCAATAAAATAGTAAACAAAATTTATCAAAGATTTTGACAAACTCATTCCAAAGCTTGCATAGAAGAGGAAAAGTATAGGAATAACCAAGACCATTTTCAAAATGGAGAAGAAAGATGAACTGCCTGTTTCTTATCAAGATTCATAATAAAGCTATAAAAATTAAAAGAATGTTTTTAAAAATATTGTAGTAATGGTCCCTAAATAAATAGACCAACAGAATAAAACAAAAGAAAATAAAAGCACACATGAGACATTGATACAAGAAAATAAAAAGGATTTGAAATTTGTGAGGGAAGGATGACATTGGAATTTTTGGTTTTCTATGTGGAAAAAAGTAATCCATAATTCACATTATAAAATAAAACAATGTAAAGACAAGCTTTACAAAAAAAGGAAAAGTATAGCTTTTACTACCTCAGAATATAGAATGATTTTTTTAATGAAGAGATAAAGAAAAATGTAAAACCAGAAACAGATGTTGTTATCCAAAGTAATGATGAACACATTGGATTGCACCATGATTAAAAATTTAAAACAACCACCACTTATTACTCTTATGGGTGAATGGCTCACCTTAGTAGTTCTGCTGGTCTTGCTCAGGCTCATCCCTGTGTCTGCTGTCAACTTCTGGGTTGGCTGGGGGCTGCATGATCTAGCATAGCTTCAATGGGACAATTCCAATCCAGTCCACATACCTTATCCTTCTGCAGGCTCATCCGATTACGTTCTTGTGGTAGGGGAAGGGACCCAGGAAAGAAAGTGAAAATACCCAAGTGCTTTTCCAAAGCTCCACAGGGATCAAAAACCACCTTTACACAGCCAAAATCCATGTAGGAAAACACTCCCAAAGTGTGCGCCTGCCAAGAAGTGTGAAAAATTTGTGACATTAATGGAACTCATCTACCATACATGCTTATAAAAA